ATATATATATATATATGTATATATATATATATGTATATATATATATATATATATACATATATATATATATACATATATATATATATATATACATATACATATATATATATATATATATATATATATATGTCTATATGTGATTATATATATATATATATATGTATATATATATATATATATATACTATATATATATATATGTATATATATATATATGTATATATATATATGTATATATATATATATATATATACAAATAGATAAGTTTGTTTCACAAAGTGATAATATTATTTGTAATCATATTTTTATTATTTGTAATCTTATTTTTAAATATTTTAATATTTCTAAATTATGCATTTATAAATGAATGAAAATATACTCTTTTTCTTCCTCTGAGGAGGATGGCATCGACGACAATAACGAGCGACATTGGTGACAATGACAAAGAGCACGGAAGAGAATCGATAAGAAATATCATCCGATCGACAACGATATCAACAAGAGACATCAATACAGGGTTGTGAGGGAAGAAAAAAAGAATAAGATAAAATCGATAAAATGCAAGCTATCGATAGAAAAATAATATTTTATTATTTTTTCAAGAGGTGGTGTAATAAATGAGCTGCCAACAATAAACTTATTCCCCAAGAGATTACTTTTTAACCTGCAAACTAAATCACTCCAAACATGCTTTACAAACTTCAAACTGTTCCATTAACCACAAAAACATGAATTCTTACGAAAGTTGGTGGAAGAAACAGGCAAAGACCGGTACAAACGGGCTTGGCTGTTCATGATCCACAAAGAGGAACACAGAGATCAAGTGGCGTATGCCTTTCTGATCCATGGAGTTTGATGAGTGTTCTTCCGCAGCATCCATTCCTTGAACCTCTTGGCGTTGCATGGAATCTCAAGGATGCCTGTTTTGCGGAATCCGAACTCCTGAGCTGATACGTAGAGGAGCTCCACCATCTCTGCGTCTCGCTGCAAAGCAGTGTGGATCATGAAGCGCTTGGACTCGTCCGACGTCCATGGCCTGGAATGCTGCAGATTCTACCTGTCTTGCTCGTCCTCGTTTCCATGAACGGCTCTGGGTTCTCTTGTTTAATCCTATCGACCGATGTCCCTTTGATGCAGATACGTTTGGATTTATGTTGATGAGTCTATCTTGATTGTTTGCGATGTTGATTGGGGAGCATTTGATTGCTTTAAGATTAAAAAAACAAAGGCAATTTGCAGTCAAGAAGAAATCTATCGAGAAGCTCAGATCACGCCAAATGGTCCCTCGAGTGGATTCTGAAGTTGATATGCTGCCTAGTCCAGAGTATGTGAGGTAGAACAAATAATTCACATATGTAATCCACTAAGTTCTTGCAGTCAAAAGAGAATTCAGTTTACTAAGAATCAAAAGGAGTAATCTATCCATGAAGATATATGGCTTTAGCATTTCCTAGTTATAGCACATCAAGAGGACACAGTAAACTTGCTACCCAACATTGCTCAGCTTCTTATCTAATTTACCAGCATGCTTTCAGTTCATAGACACAATGACATAAATGTTCTCCAATTAAGTCCCCTTTGTAAGCTACAAAGAACAATTGGCTTTTGTAAATGAAGAACATCAAATGCCCCACCACATTATCATTCAACCAATGCGATATCGATCTCTCAAGTTTTAGTGGTTGTTGTGTTCTGGTTTTAGACAGTCTGCGATGACGATTTAAGGTTCATTAAAACAGAATAGAGTACCCACCTACTGTGACATACTCTAATGATATAAACAAGCAGACATTAGACATGTAATAACCAACAAAAGTGGATTATAGCAATGCGTCGAAACCAAGGATCACAATAGTCACATGTTAACAGAATCATTTCTCGAGACTGTATAGAACCAGTACAGCAAACCCATTGATTCATAAGGAAAAGAAGGGAAGAAGAAGGAAAACAGAAAAGGTTGAACCTCAAATCCTTACACGCAATACACTGAGTACATCGGATTCCAACAAATTTGTCTTAGCAAAAAAGAAATCACTAACTTTGATTAGACGGCAACCACTTAACTGTAAATGAATCAGGCCTTCGACACTGCAGAATGCAAACAAGTCCAAGTAGTACTATTCCTCTAAGCCTGTTGGATTTCCTTCTGCAGAAGCAAAACAGAAGAATGAATAAGTGGGATATGATGGCATCTCACTCTACCTTTTGTTTCTCTTTTCCCTTGTAATTGAGTCAGAAGTGAGTTTTCTATTTCTTCTATTATGTTTTGGACGACCATTCCTAGGTTCCATAGAATTTAACTATCATGAAAACTTGGAATATAGATTGCTAGAGCAAGTGGTATGAAAATCTGTGCAAACTATGCAGCAAAAAGGACAAGCTTGAGTTTGGATAGACAATAAAGGGAATGAAATAGGAACTCACCATCATCAATGAGGCCCTTTTTATATCTTTCCATGCAGAGGAGAATATACTTGAAAGTTTCCACCTCACAAGGGATCATGAGCGCGCCCTGATGATCAAATCCAAACTCCTCCTCAGCCTTCTCTAGGAGCAGTTTAAACACTGGAAGGCTCAGGTAACTTGTCGGTATGACGAACCTCCGCTGCTCTGGTCCTATGTAGACCGGGCAGTGACCCTTGGGGACATCAGGTGGGGGTTGCGGGCTTTGGCAGCTCTCTTCATCTGAGTCACATTGGGACAACACATTCTTTAGGCGCTTGTCGACAGAAGGAGGAATACCAGATGAACATGGTTGCTCCTCCTTTTTACTGAGGGCAACCAATTGCCATTTATGCAGCATCTCTCTGAGTCTTACTATCTGCCAGATCCCTGTCATCTTCACACTTTCGTCGCTCATGGTGGGAGGACTTAACAAGCAATGGACACACAGAGTACCAACAGTGATGAATCAGGCACACCAAGTATCAGTGATCACAAGAATTCATAATTCTTCTGACTGTACAAGACAAAACTTTGGTTAATTATTGGGAAGCAAAATAAATAACACCAAGATGGAGTCCAATGCCTGAATGCTAATAAAATCAAATGGAAAGTTTTAACAAGCACAGATTTGATCAAATTTCACCTGGCACAATGTTTAATTAAGTTTCAGCTTCTAAAAATATTATCATACTCAAATCAAAGAAATAAGGCCTTTATGTAGAACCAATGTATTCTTAACCTAATAAAACTTCGTTTTAGACTGGTGATGAATCTCTATCAATTGGTACAATGACGATGCAGATCAAGGAAATATTGAACTGCTTAATCCATGGCTTGATGGGAAGGAGCACAACATTGTAACACACTGCCTGCTGCCACAAATATACAATTCAAATTTAAACTGAAGAAGAATGTCTTTGTTGAGGCATCCAAGTTGGTTAGTATATTACTGCAAAAGTGATAGGTCTCAGATTCAAGTCCACATGTGAGTATCATATATCATTTAATTGAATGAAAATGCTTTTCAAATTTTTTAAAAAAAGAAAAGAATGCTATTGTGATGTTTCTTCTGAATCTATCAAAATGATTAGGCTTCAAACAATGGTAACCCTCAGCTTGGGACACCCATCAAACGATTAAAACAATGACACATGGTATGAAGCAGTAAAAACATCTTCAGAACTTATGGCGATTGACCAAACATGAAGGCATGTGGTGATTAGCATCACTGTATCACTAATCATATTCCAAAATGGCCCAAAACATGGAATTTATGGGCCCTATAGACAGAGTACACATTGCACGAGCATAATGCAGTTGGAATTTTCTTCCTTGATTTCTTTAAATAGAAGCACGCATCAAATACAGACAATCCAGGATTATGTCTTGTAGTTTCTTGCTTCCAATTGCAAAAAGGGCTTAAATATAATCGAATCAGATTATGTTATCTTGGTATGCATCAACAGCCTAACCTTTTCTGAAAATAATATAAAACATACTCAAATAAACACCCTAATATTTTCTTCAAATTGCAGCCGGAATGTTCTATCATCCACACAGGTTTCTTATTACATTGCCACATTATAAGAACGTCATGATTGCATCAAAGAAACGTAAGAACAATTAATTTAAAGGGAAATGTATGTAATGCCTATACCAACTTGGCATTTTCGATCAGTGTCATGTTGGCTCATAAGGTAAACCAAAACAAGCAGATGTTACGCCAGTAAGCCATGAAATACGACCATCAACATATCAATTTCCAACAGGAAATAAGAATCTCTATTGCGTAAAGAATTGGATTGGAATAGCACCGAATCAATGTGGAAACAAAGAGACCAAAAACATCTTTTTTTAAGATCAGAGCCAGAAATTGTTTAATCATGGGATCATAAAGAGGAAAAAGATTCAAGATAGGATTGCGTGGTTGGGACGGCGATCACCTTCCGAGGCATCGCATATGGAGAGGCGATCACGAACAGGGAGGAGATGCTGCCATTGCGGAAGGAAACGAAGGGCTGTCGAGAGAAACAGAGAAGAGCGAGGAGAGGAAAGGGAGGAGAAAAAGAAGGGCCTGTTTATAGTCGAAACTAGAATGACAGTTTTGCCCCCAACAACGATGCTTACGCCCCCTCTCTCCCCAACAGGGAATGGTCCGTCCACGTGTCAATTCATACGTGAGCGAGGCATCTCGTGCGGGATCGCCTTGCGGCGCCTTACGATTCGGGCTACTTTTCGATTCTCTCCATCGGATGGTCAGGATCGGTTCGATTGGTACGGGGTCACAAAAGCCTTCCTTCGTCAAGCAGAGAGAAGAAGACGATGTACCAAAAGAAGGTCTTAACATATAGCAGCATCGTAAGAAACAATGGGAGGACTACTTGCACATCCCCAGGCATGTCTTGGTCTCAACCAAGCAGGATGCAGGGGAACAGTGCCTACAAATCAACGTCTTGATCTCAAGCTATCTGCTACTCTGAGAACTGCTTTCTGGTTTAGGACCCAAGCTGAGCCATGGCTGGTTCTCCGCTGGCTTTGCCGCCGCCGGCCCTGCTGATCCACCATGGACTTGATATGGTGCTTGGCCCATCCTAAAAGTACAGAGCTCAGGATCAACACACAATCATGGGGAAGCAAAGGAAAATTACGAGGGAGAAGTACCAACCGGTCCTTCCTCTTCCCAAGGAATCGGTTGAGGGAGTTCCTCCTCGCTATGGGCATGTCTGTCACCAATGGAGGATCCATGAGCATGATGTGAAGAAGCATCAAGAATGTTAACGAAGGGTAATTACCGGAAGAATTAGCCTGGCCGGGCTCCGGCAGACTACTCTGCAGCGCCACCGCCGGTTCATTCGAGGTGCAGTCAGCTGCAGGATCTGCAATGCTCTCTTTGCTCGCCATGAGCAGCAGATCTTTGGCCTTGTCTGCGGGGAAATTGTCGAACACCAGAATCTGTCCGCCGTAGAAGATCGTCAACTGGTCCTTCCCGATCTCCCTGAGGTATCCATCTTAGAATTATATTCTTTAGCTGGAAACACATGAAAGAAACAGATAGTTTTGGAGCTAAATCTTACTTAGCATCCGAAGGTTTGGTAGATTCCTCTGTTCTCGGAATGGCAGAAGAGTTAAGGCTGATGGAGTGCTGGGAAACCATCAGCTCCGGAGAATTTGAAGCATTTTTATCTGTACTTTTGTCAGCATGGTGATGATCCATTCCTGAGACTTCATTTCCTGGTTTGAAGCAGATGGTGTTGGGTACCCAAAAATTCCCTGAAAGATGAAGAAAAAGGCAGAACATTAAGAAATCAGAATTGGTGAACAAAAACTTGGTTGTATTATTTCTCTGACTAAGATCAAAGTACAAACACTGCAAATCTGGGAGACTCAGAAAAAGATTCAGTGTCGAGATCAAACTAGGACACCATAGATCATTAGAATCTGACCTTTAGCTTGGTGGTCAATTGGTCTTGGAGCCAGCAGAAGACCAAGGTCACCAAAGCTGCCATTCTTCTTCAAGTACTGGCTCAAGAGTCTGCATGTGAGTGAGAAGTGGGATCTTCCCACTAACCTCTCTCCTCCTTTCTCCATTGCTTCTCTTCTCTCCTCCCTCTTACCTGTCTGCCTTCTTTTAAACCCTCCTCCTGTTTCTTCTGGTAACAGAGAAGAAACTTAGAGAAGAAGGTGAGACACAGACTGACGATATGCCTCTTTGCTTCCTGCTTTTTCGAGTGGTGGAAACAAGTGGAGGAACAGCAAACCGAATAAGAATAGCCGAAGAGAAAACTCATGGCCCATGAAGCAGTAGAATAATGGATGGTGTGACTGTCTCACTTTAGAGAGCACAGGAAAAAGGTACGGACCGATTCATTTCTTGCTCTTCTTCTGCTGCTGCTGCTGCTGTTCTTTGCATGGTGTACATGCAAAAGGATCGGATACTTCACAGTAAAAGCAAGTGCTTCATCTGTTGTTGGACAAGGTGACGTAAAAGGAAGAAGAAGTGGCACGTGAAGACAATGAAAGAGGAAGACAATGGCATGATCGAGTGGAGTGAGGTGAAAGGAAGCGAGGGAGATTGCAGGTGGGTGCGTGGTGGCTTCGCCGAAGTGGTTTCGGCCGCCCATAGAGTGGCACATTTGCAACGCGTTGGATGGGGACATTTGATGTGAGATGTCACTTTAGAGTGTGGACATCTTTTGTCTATTTATTCTTTATAATTAATTTTAACATGTGTATATATTCCTTCAAAATATAAAATTTTATATTACATTATATTATATATATAGTTATATTTAATTTTTATTATACTAATACTCTTTAAAAGCTCTATTATATCAAAAATATAAGAGTATTTGTAACACTCTACTTATACTTCTATCCATACCGTATATATATATCATTAAAGTAAGATATTATATTTTAATTTTTATTATTGTTTTTGATAAAAGTATAATGTAAATTAGACAATCTTACGATTAAAACATTCTAATTTACTAGACAAAATGATGAAGTTTCGCATATACATAATATTTTTGATATTTATTGATAATTATAATTTTTAATAAAAAAATAAATAAAATATATCTAAAATTTACACATACAAAATGTCTATAAACTTGTACGTTCTTACTTCCCAACCTAATCACTTGAGGTATTAGTATCCTTCTAAAAGAGAATCCGTAGTGAATGATCACTTACTAAGTATAAACTTTTATAGTTTTATTCAAATGAACATTCATTATGTCATGTATTCAATATTTCATAATCATTGACATAAGATATTTAATAGTAAACTTCTCATCCTATGATTTTTTTTTAACAAATATAATCTTATAATATAGCATATGCAAAATAAAAAGATAAAACTCTACAACGAAATATTTTGAAATGATTATATGCACATGTAGGAAGTATAATAAATTCATTAACTTCTATATCCCATATCATAACATATATATACATATTCATATCGCATGTCATCGTAATATATATGTGCACTTCCATACCGGACGTTATAATATATATATATGCACTTCCACACCGCATGTTATAATATATATATACACTTTTACACCGCACAACATGATATACACATACACTTTCACATCACACACCATAATATATACGTATACTCTCACACCGAATGTCATAACATGTATACAGTAACATATTTATACATTCCTACACTACATGTCATCATTTATACATGCATATAAGATTTTTTTATTATTCATATATTTTTATACTTATAAAATATATATATTCAGCTCATGAGAATCATATAATTCAAAAAATATTTTATAAAATATATTATGAATATGATAATTTATACGATCACTATTCTACAGTAAATTAAACTTATACTTAACTAATCGAACTTAAAAATGAAGATACTAATAAAATATCATATCCCTTAGTGATGTGCTAGGGAGTGATACAACTATCAAATTAGGAGTACAAGGTCATAAGATATCTTAGTTAAGAACTCTACCTCTTGAATTATTAATTTTATAATAACTTATTATAATAATTTATAGAAAATTTGATAAAATCTATCATAAAATAAACTATACCTGACCTAAAAATTCATCTGGATTTTATTATTATTATTTTAATAATTTACTCTATAATCAAATGAACTAAGTATCAACCAAACCATCATATCATCTACGAAGAAATTTTTCTGCGAAGAAATTTTTCTTCACTATTTTAACTGATCAAACGATCTTGAATTATCATGAAATTTTATAGAAAATTAGGAAGCATATAAAACTAAATACATAATAAATTTTAACTTAAAACATAATTATTCAGAGGCTAAAATAGCCTCCTAATTCAACTACCAACCCATATTCTATTATGTTGAAACTAGGTTAGGACTATCTAAATTTATAAATCTATTTTGGTACACAAAGATGTATTCACTCAATTCCAAATTTTACAAGTCCATAAAGAAATCTTTTAAAATATATAAAAGGATAGAATCAAATCAAATATCTAAAAAGGTCAATTTAGCTCAAATAAAATTCTTCTAAAAGAATAAGAGATTTTGAATATCTCAAATTAGGATAATTATGCACCAATTTCAAATTAAGATGAGGCAAAACATATCCAAAATTAATAATAAATTTAAAATCTAGATTACTCAAAAGCGGTTAAAATGATTAGCCTATAATATATAAAACTAAGATCATACATATAGAAAGGAAAGAATTAAATTTTTTAATCTCCATATTCCTTACAGTTGGGGTTTCTAACCTCCATGATAAAAATTACGAAAATAACTAAAAAAAAGAAGAGTAAGAGTCATTAGTTATTAGATTAATAAACAAGATGATGTCAAAATAAGGTAGAGGTACTTAAAAGATTACCTTGAGGTCTAGGTTCAATCTTATTATACCTTATTTCAAATTTTTTTCTTTCTTTTACTAAAACAAAGGTTGCAACAACTTTGATTAAGTTTAATTTGGTTTGACAAAGATGATTTTTTTGTCTAAACTCGTCGTTCAATCTACTTATATGTCTCAACATTTGTAGTATAACACTCTCTGACTTATATTTCTATTTAATTTATTTATTACTCTATTCATGTCAAAGCAGTCTATTATCCTTCATATACGTTAAATTTAAAATTTAAAATTTTATTTTAATTATATTCAAACTCATTCAAATCCTAGGATTTATTTAATGTTGATTAAAATTCAACCGGCACTTTTAATCACTATATACATATTTATTATCATAATTTAACATCATACTCAAATCCGCTAGCACACTTTGACTCATTGTATTGTGTTTAAAGTAAATATTAATACTTATGCATGTTTAAAGTAAATATTTTAATCTTTAAAATAAAAAAAAATATTAATATATCATTTATCATATTTACGAATGATAGATATCACAAATCATATCATTAAGTGATGATATAATATATATATATATATATATATATATATATATATATATATATATAATTTATGTTTTTATTGACATACTAGTTATAGATGAAAGTACGTGAGACTAGGACACTAACTATAGTATTGTACTTTTAAAATAAATGTCGAAGATATATTATTGGACATTATTCTTAATCGATCAACATTTAATATAAGAAGAAGCCTAGTCAATATGATAAAAGGTGAATTAGATACGCCATGTTTACATAATATTTAAAGGAAATATGAACTCATTAATGGTGATTATAGAATCGATAATATATAAAATAATCTTTTAAAGTATATTGTTACTCTACACTCACTAAATTAAATAGGATTTGAAAAACGAGTCAATCCAATACTTTGATCAATCCTTCTTCTTCTTTTTATTTTATTTTATTTTATTTTACAAAAGTGATATATGTGTTAGTAGTTTCATACATGTAAAATAATATTCTAGTGACGACGTACAAAACTCACAGACGATCGAGCAAGAAGAAGGTTGCAGGTTTTGAGGCAATCTCGGACTTGCCGCACTCTGTATTATGGCTTTCTTTTTGACTTTTGAGTCCTTCGCACAAAGTGTCTCTCATCTGCAAAGTTCATTTGACGTTATTGACTAACAAAACATTGTCTCAAAACATGAATTAGGTGTGTAGAATCACAAGTAGTTTTGTTTGCATTATCTACATAATAATGCTTCGATCAATGGCAGCTGAAACAATAACAGATTATAATCAGGACATGAACAAGCACAGTATAATACATCAGCCCATAAATTCGCCAAATTGTAGAAATGAAGGCCTGAATTCTTGTAATACTTTCATCAAGCAACAGCAAAAGTTAAAAGAAGAGATTGCAAGTGCAGAATCCAAAGCACACTTTTGAATAATCCGGCAGTAATTCACCTCTTGAAAACCCATTTGGTACAAAAAAGAATGAATGGGGGACTAAGAAATGAAAAGATAAAAGAAGAGATTGCTATTTGCCGGTCTCTAAAACAACAGGACAACAGAACGAGTACTATTTTTCGTCAACCGATATAAAGTAAATTACTGCTAAGTCGTACAAGCTAATCAAATCCTTCGATAACAAACTAGCCACTACAAGCAGGTAGATGCTGATCGTGTTGCTACTCCCTTTTATCTTCTTCGATGTCGCCATTGTGTGAGGTGGTAGTGTCATTGCTCACAGCTGCTCTAGCATCCATCAAACCAGCAGAACCACGGGCATCCTTTGAAGAAACTGGTCCTGGCTTTATTAGAGAAAGTGAGTCCTCTCGATCAAAATCTTCAGATCCATCATCTGAGTAAGCATATCTGAAAGAAAAGATTAAATTAGTCCATCCAGCATTGCATGGATACAAACACCAGAGTTTGACATGAAGATGCCTCCAAGTATATGAACTCCAATCTGGTGAGGACACAGCATGCAGATATGGGGAGACATCACGGAAGATTCATTAAAAAGAAAGCACACTTATTTTATGGTTTTGTAAGAACACCAATACCCCAGAGTTAAAATTGATGAGAAGACTTGGAATTGAAAAAATCTGCTTCTTACGCTGTTATATATTGTTCGATATTGTACTAGTCTAACTAGACTTAATAAGTGCAGTAATTTAAACATCGTGTTCCTTAGATATTGAGAAACATATTCTCTACAGTGAATCAAACTTAGTACTCCGTAGAGAATTAGAAACAGGTTATGCCACCCTGATTTTCACTTAACTACTGATTGAATCGGCGAAACATCCTGAAGTACACATAAAAGGCCATAAAAAACAAGTTGCACGATCTGCGGGATCTAGGGATTTCACCTCATTGAGTTTTGAGAGGGCGCCCAAAGAGCAGCAATTACGCAGAGAAGAGAGAACGACAGGACCTGCCAAAACGCAGGAATGATCCAGGCATTCTGCCAGTGCCCATTGTATACATCATTTGACTTGAAATAAAGCTGCAGGGAAATAACACCACCTAATTATGCATGCATCACAAAATGACTCATCAAAGAGGCTGTAAAGGTAAGGATGAGTACTTGATAAGGTACTGGGAAAATCAATTATGAAATATTATGCTAACAAGAGTGGTCCCAGAATAATCATATAGGAAGTAATATATACCAAAGAGCTAGAGTTAGTGTGATTCTAATTTTAGAGTGCTAACTTTAGGCACCATCAATAACAGGTTTAAATCTCAGGAGCATAAAACGTTATACTGCCACTTACTATTGTATATGCACAGGACATGGTTTGTTCAACATGATGCAAAAGAGATTATTGTTACCTCATAGCAAATCCATCCAACAGATACAAGAACAGTGATGGCCAATGCATTTGTGAATTTCCTGTAAATGTCTAGCTTAGCTATCAATCGCCTTGCCTGTCAGGAATCATAATACACTTCTTAGGCTTCATTTTTAGTAAAAGTTTATTTTCATAAATAATGTTGACATCGATAACTTTAAAGAGAAACAAACATATCCCAGCAAATGCAAAGTAAGAAAGGAATAGTGTAAAAAAATTTCCTAAAATCGACAGCCATTATCAGAAATCAGAAAATTGCAATTACCTGGAGCTTGTCCAGAGTTTTGGAAAGAGAAGTAAAGATCCATATAATGAAAAATGTATCCAAAAGCGCCACGGGAAGAACCAAAAAGAGTCTTGCTTTTCCGGCAAAATCACTTACAGCACCAGCATTCTCCACCAACTCAAGTATCTCAGAAGCAAGGAAAAATGTTGCTCCAAGCATAATCACCTTCGATGTGAGACCACCCAAGGTAGGCCTGACAACACCATACCCCATAGAAACAACTAGAATAATAACCCACGACACTGTTCGTTTAACTGAACCAAACGTTACTGCCCAAAAGGTGATCCCCATTGGTCTAAGTCCAGTTTCATTGAATTCAGCATACTCGAAGTACCACAATGCCATTTCCAGCATGCCTAATGCGATGACAAGTGTTATGCAGTTCTGGAGTGGAAGAACCTCTCTCCAAAATCTCACATACTGTGAAAACCAAAATATCCCAAGTATCACAAATGCAAGAGACATGAATCCATAAAAGTTCATGAGAGGAGCCATCCTTCCTGGCAGGTAGCCAGTGGGATTTTTCCACACGGTCTTCCCGTCTATGACCAGCCCATTAAGAGCTGGGTCACAATATATAAAATACAGGTTGTACATCCCAGTTCTTGTGATGGGTATACTCTGGGATGGCAATGTTGCAACAAGATCCTTTCCATTAAAAGTGGCAGCAAGCACCTGAGGCCACTTAGGATTCTGAGCAGAGGGCCGATAGATGACTGCGCCTTGGGTGCAAGCACCCAATTTTGCCAGATCTGGTGTGCAGCAAACAGCTCGTTGACCACCATAGGCTGACCCACCAATTGTCTCCCGATCTTCTACTTCAAATATGATAGCTTGCACCAAAACAGAATCACCATCTTTACTGTTCTCAAACAGATTTCTCAGGCCGTGTGAAAGTGATCTTCTCAAAGCTGAAAAAACAAACGAGACAAACTCTGAGATTTCTTGACGCGGGTTTTACTTGATATGGAACCAAGTTGGGAGCATCATATTCAGTATTTTTAGTAAATTATGGTTTTTAAGAACCATATTCTGCAAACTAATTATCTTTTCAGAGTAATAGCTTTCAGATGTAAAATTCTCAAGCTTTCTGTTAAGGCACTTCATTTCTGTGTATACATTTTCTTTCATAACTAGATATATCAGGATTTCTAATAAAAAGAACTAAATGAGCAGGACATTGTACCAAAAATCAACAGGTTAAGCAGAGAGAATCTTCTGAATTTATCACTCAATAACTACTGAAAATGCATCAGATTTTAATCAAGAGATGCAATTTTAGCACATTTTACAAATAATTTACCATTAATTTATGGTGCTGCATATAAAATAAGTAGTGCATTCCAACAAAAGAAAGAGAAGTAAAAAGTCGGGGATGAGCGAAAAACATAACCCTAGGTGAAATTCAACACAATATTCATCATCACTTCTCCTTGGTACATGGAACCCTAAGCATCCATTTATCGACCACTAAGCAACTCCAGCATAATGTTATATTTTTCTCATTCATGTCCTGCAATTACTATTTGTTTGACTTATTAGTGCATTAGCAGACAACTGGAAATACCTTAAAAAGTTAACAAGCTCCCCATTAAGGATCGCAAACACATGTCAAATATTGAAATTTCTAAAATCAGATGAAAATTCGGACTAAATTATGCTAAACCAAACCAGAGACTTCGTACCCACGCGTAGCACTTGAAAACTATTTTATATAACGATAGAGCTGGAACAGATCTTTCCAGATAATGTAAATGACTGAAATTCTGAAATCTATGCAAAAAATCTACATCAATATGGAAACTTGATGGTGTATATCTATCTGATTGCATCAGAACAATCATATGGTTTGATTAATATTTAAGTTAATGTTACATCAGTTGTACATACCAGCATCACGCTAGAATTGGTGTCAAGCCTCAAACAAATTCGATGGATACCAATCAAGAAAGCACATTTACAGCACAAAAGTAAATCATTGATTGACCGAAGTAGCGCCAGATCTCCAACCTATCAACTCAATGCTCCTCCAAGAACCCAAATTACTGAGCTTGCAGGACACCGAAATCCCCACAAAAGCATAAAACCCGCAAGTCGGTATCAAGAGCGCCCCGGATCTAGCAAAAGAAATGAGGACACGAGGGATTACCGGATGAACGAGTCGCCGCGGCCGGCGGTGGCGTTGGCGTGGGGAAGCGAAGCGTACAGGCCCTCGCTGCCGCCATGGAGGACGAACGCGTTGCCCTTTGGCGTGAACTTCTCGCCAATGTAGCTGTGGACGGAGGCATCGACGGAGGAGAAAAGGAGGAGGAGGAGGAAGAAGAAGAGAAAGCCACCATGGTTGCGGAGACGAAGAGGTGGAGCAGCGGTGGCGGGATCGACGCGCGCCATTGGCCCACCGTACAGGAGATCGAGATCTAAGTCGCTCCCTCCCCCCCTCTCTCTCTCTCCTCGAAGAGGAGTGCGTGCGAGAAACGGAGTGGCTCTGGATCTGGGCGACGACTTCTCGCTGCTAATAGCAAGCTGATGTGGGAGGTTAGGACAGTAGATTAAGAAAGAAGGGCTATCCCTCTACGGACTAGGTTACTACCCTACTCCTTACACCGACATGTAGTTGGATCCAAAGATGGGGTCATCTCGTCGGACCGCGTGTTCACCTAAACATCACGAAGGTTGATGGGGTAGTGCGATGTCACCAAGTAGAGAAAGCAGCGCTTGTTTATTTAGTCGGTGGTGAGGTCCAGAAAGGGGTTAAAATGGCGAGGATGCAAACTTTCCTAATCGTTTGTCTCGTGCCCGCGCCCGACCTGCCTCGTGATTGAGGGCGGCAGCGATGGCCCCGCAGGAGGAGACGGGTAAACGAGGTAATTTTGAGAAACCCCGGACTATGAGTGTTTATTGGTCTATTATTTCTTTGAAAGTTACCCAATGATAAGTTTTTATTTTGGAACCGACAGCGGATGTTGTGATGGTTAATCACAGATCCAATTAGAGGATGAATCTAATGATTAAGTCTTTATTTTGGAACGGACCGCTATACGTCTATACTTGTTAGACATAGCAGCAGTCCATTAGAGGATGATGTTGCAGCAACCCTTTGGGTAGGTTCTCTCTTGCTACACCAGAAGAAGCTCCATGAAGTCCCTTTTCCATTGATTGAAAATTCGAACCTGAAGTCGCCAAGACCTCCCAATAAATAAAAAAGCATACCTTATGAAAGATACCTCCCGATGATTGTAAGATGAAAGATAAAAAAATATGATTCAGTTCATTTTTATGAAAGCTAAACATGTATTGACACTCTTCAGGGAAAATCTTGCTCACACTTCATCAACTTATAAATCACAACTTCTCATGCTAGTGCGAAGGGCTTCCATCCAAAGCTAGAGCTATTATTCCCTCCTCCTATTGTGGTCGCTAACACAGCTTCACGCCGCTGCTCGGCAGACCGAATATACTCCTCGATAGGAGGAAGTTTCCCGCTCCCTTCAGCATCTTTTGGTGCTTGGCCTCTTATCCGCTGCCACAAACATTAATTTACACCAAGTATTGAACGACAGCAAAGACAAGTATCCTGATTAGAGATGTACCTTTGATGCCCAATGCCGTTCTGCTTGTTGACAGACATCCCTGATATCTCTTCCAGACATCCTACCCATTAAAAGGGAAACATAAAGCTTAGCTGAATAAGATTAACATTATATTGGAGGTTATAAGCAAAAGCAACACCCAGAAGAGGACAAATGTTGATCTTAAGAACAATTGAAGAGTGCATTTCATAAGCTCTCCCCTCTTCATAACAATAGAAGACGGGGAGAGCTGTTAACTTCGAAACAATTCATCAACTCTGATAGGCTTGACCAAACCAATTCTCTCAATCTAGCTAGATCTAAGCTCGATTCAAGTGGAATGGGCCAGTGACCAGATGAGTTGGACCAAGTGAGCACCTGAGCTGCCCAAATCCTGACTTTGGGCACCTGCCCCGACGACACCTGGTCTAGGTTCGTTGAGAGGTGCTCAGTGCTTGCCTTGCCTCACTCGAATGCCTAGGAAAGCCCGACACCTCTTGACAACACTGCATAAATCCAGTGATCCTACTACAAGAATGTGTAGGTATGGGACTAGATGTATCACAAAGAGATAGTAGTTAAGAGAAAAAATGGAGGCTATTGTCAAACTCACTCAAATTATACCCTAATTTTGAAAACCTAATTGATTTTAAGCTATCTGAAGTTCTGAACATCTTGGGATATCAGAAGCTACCTAACGTCTTCCAAACTTATGAAACAGAAATTAGATCACAAATTCATCTATGATATCTCGACTTCATTATCCAACATTCTAATATTTCAACCTTCCAACTCCCTTGGAAGATGTCCATACACAAATTTTACTACCAACAGGTACTTGACCAAAATCTTCTTGGGTTTACTATGAAAAATTGCCTCATTAAACAGCTTACAGTGCCTAAGAAGACCGATTAAAGCAGAGGTCAAAATTCATTTTGACAATCCTAATAGATGATCATAGTAAGATATTGAGTTTAAAAAATTAAAAAAAAAAAGTTAATTTTTCACATTACCCTTCGGTAGCCGAGGCTAACAAAACTAGCTCAGCCTTCAGTAGATGCTTTGCATACTGAGCACCTATCTCTTCACGAGTTTTTTGATCGGGTAGGGAAAACGAAATCAATGAATCAAAGCGGCTGAAAGAAAAGATGGCAAATTAAGAATCAGAACTCATCATACTGTTAATTACTATTTTAATCAAACTTCTACCAAGAAAAAAATTCAGAAAGATTAAAAATATAACTGAACTAAAAATACAAAAATTTCCAAATTCTATTACCTAATGAGAGCAGGATCAAGGTCTTGTTTTCTATTTGTTGCAGCTATAACTACTACTTGCTTTTCCTGCTCAAAACCATCAATCTGAAAAAATAATAATAATAATAATATGCATCAACTGCTTTAATAACATCAATATACATCTGCAGAATAGTAGTACGATAACTAAATAATTTTTAAATAAATTTTAAAAACCAAATTTCCAAATTGGCCACTGGGACCAAAAGACATTTAAACAGTATGATAATCTTTAACCAGAATTATCATGACCATTGTTGCTTGATTGGAACAAAAAACTGACGAGATTTCTTACATGAGTATTGTAATGGCACTATTGACCAAGATTTCTTTCATAACTTTTACACCATTACATTGATACTTCATTTTCTATATTTTTTTCCCATCAGTCACTAAATAATTATGCCTTAAAGAGAATTCAACAGTGGTAGAAATTGTCCAAACATACAATACCACATCCAACTAATAGTATCAAATGGCATTAACACAATTAACAGATGTAGACACACCAGCGAAAATTTTCAACCAGGGATCTACGCTCAAGGACAACAAGAAATCAAGGTATCTGTATTTTCAATCAACCATAAGTAATCCAAGACCTCACAGAACTGATTGTTAGATAATTACTTCTACCGAGGAGAAGCAGTCCAGTATCTAAGATCACATCCATATCCCCTACAATCAAAGAGTTTGTTTCCATGAAAGTTGTGGACAAAAGGTACAAAAACCAAGCCAGGATAAGCAGAAATCAGAATTTGAACACTCCACCACCATTAAACAAGTGTATGCACATGACCATCTATGTAAATATACATAATTGAGTTTCTAATTCAGCAAGGAGACAAAAGAAGACGGGCAAGTACACATACATATTAAGCAAGTAGTCTCTAGATCACTATACAGACATATTTATTGAATTCATGCTAATCTGTTTAGTAAACTTGTTTTAACCCAAAAAAGAGAGACTAAAGATAAAAAGTAAGAAATTATAGTAAAAGAGATAACAACAAGTGAAGATCTTCCATAAATCAAGAATGAAAAGAACAGTAGAATCTCCATAAGAGTCCAAAGTAATATTTAGGTATCTTTACAAAGAAACTTGAATTCAAGCAACTTCATAAAAAGACATGTCACTCACAAAATCTTTCGCCAGCATAAGATGGAAGGGAAACCAAAATTACTAATCAACACAGCTAGATGCTTAGGTATACTCTTCAAGAAAAACCATATGGCCAAACAAAGCTGTCACAAGAAAAGTTAGTACATGAACTAATAGCAACAAAGGTACACCAATCATCTGCAAATTCCTAGAGGGTCCCACTGACTAAAGTCATGGGCCCTATCATAGTATTACTTCTCCATTGTATCTCACAGACAAGAAACAGTAGGTGAAGAAGAGGGCAGAAGCTGGTGCTGCAAAGGCTTCATTTCAATCTTACATTGCTTCGGAAAGTACAATGTAACATTGAGAGACAGAAAAAGAACTTGCACTACATAACTATGAAGATGAAATTTCTCACTAAAGTCCCCTTGTATAACTACGTCATATGAACTATGAATCATCATAACTAGATCAACACAATCTAATCCAAGGTCCAGCAGTTTTCCAACTTAATCAGCTAGACATCATTACTGATCACCAGCATGGCATGCACTTGTTTAACTGATGTCACTTATTGGTGATGACATAATAATGGTTCATTTGGAAAAAATATTTTTTTTCTGACCAAGCATCAAATTTAGCTGATGAAGCTTGTTAACCATTACAGAAAATAAAAGAAATTAATTATTTTTCAGGACATATACGAGCATCAAATTTTTAAGGACACCTAATACTTCATTTCTCATATTTTTATATACTTCAACCATGTGTCTATTTACACAAATTATTCTACTAGAATAGCATTTTTGATTTATTCATCCTAGTCAGAACTACAATTAAACATGGATAATGATTATCAAGGCTGGTTAATAGAAAGCAATCAACACAAAGACAACGAAAAGGGGCTAAAAAAGAAGCTCCTGCCTGGCTCTTCTGAATGACAAAGCAAATGGTAAATCAATACACAAAAACCAACCTGACGCAATATCACTGACAAAATCCTACGGGTAGCTTCGTGCATCTCACTATCTCGAGCAACAGCAAAAGAATCAACCTACATGAACAGGAGTATACTGTTAAATTAAGATGTCCAACAGCATACACTGCAACCCTGCATGTCTAATCACCTGCATGCTATTTCATAACTGAATGGCCTTTTTCCTCAATGCAATTTCATAATAAGTTGTGCACCCAGCATGTCTAATCCCAGTCGAATTATTAATTGCAATGGTATATTCATTTGTATCCTATATCCATTGAATTTTAATTTTAGCCACAGAAAATTAAAGATATACAAACATCCCACTAGAATTTGATAAATGTCATAGACACTCTTTCAAGAAGTACTTAAAAATTCTTTTGTGCATCAACGAAAAAAATCTATGTAAGAAATCTTAACATACATATATAGACAAAAATAAATCATATTTTTATTCTTTTTAATTTTTGAATGGGTATCATATGCAATGCTTACTTCTAATGGGGTAAATCTGAAAATAAAACTACTTGTAGGTGTAACTACGAGATTGTCTTTTTGCTATCTGAAGTTAGACACTATGACTATACAATTTA